AGAGAGAGAGAGAGAGAGAGAGAGAGAGAGAGAGAGAGAGAGAGAGAGAGAGAGAGAGGACAAATAGCGTTCTCAACTGCAGAGAAAAAAATTTCGTGCCGATCGGTTAGAAAGAGTTGGGAAGTGGGTGCCAATTCTTCTGACAGCGATGCATTGAGGTGGTTATATAGCCCCCAGTACGGAACCATATGGCTGCAAGGCCCCAATCGTCGCATTCACCAAAACAGAGGAAGAGTCGCTTATGAGGATACTTCGGGAAGAGAGAGAGAGAGAGAGAGAGAGAGAGAGAGAGAGAGAGAGACAAAGACACCGTATTTATGGATGAATTTTGCATGAAGATTTATTAGATTGCATAGAACAAATTGTCTGCTTCAGTTCCAGACATAACGAACGCTGGTGTATAACCCTTCATCCTCACTTGTTGTTTTCTGTCCTGTCCTCTGCATGTGCAAACATTATCGACGTCAACAAAGTGTAGGAGAGTGTGATTGTGCCCTCAGAGTGTGTGTTTGTGTGTGTGTGTGTATGTGTGTGTGTGTGTGTGTGTGTGTGTGTGTGTGTGTGTGTGTGTATGTATGTGTTGGGGGGGGGGGGGGGGGGGGGGGGGGGGGGGGGGGACGGGAAGGCTCAGTCGTAAAAGTGCATTGTCCGATTGAACAAACATTCACCAATTAAGGCGTCAACAGAGTCTCATAAGAGATCGTATTCTTTTCCCATTCATGGTGCAAAATTAAGATCCCCAACAAACACCACGTTTTATCAACAATGATCGAGTCACGCGAGTCCTCAATCGAATGCTCCACATTACTCCGATCGACGCATGCATGCGTCGAGACGAATGGTCATCCCATCAACAGGCAGACACCTTCATTCCAAACACAGCACCATCACATTTCCAACACAATTCATCACAGGGCCATCACATTTCCAACACAAATCATCACATTTTCATCACAAATCGAATTTGATATCCAACATGAAGACTTGTGTTCGGTTGTTTAACAACTGTTTACCAACACACAGTTCAACGTGCCCTACGCAGTTCAACACATTATAAACAGATTACAAACTGTTCACCAACACTTTGTTCAACTGTTTGTCCTGTCACTTCATGTGCACGACACAATTCGCAAACGTTGGTTTCCTTGACTTCCAGTTGACCACGGTGCATGTGCCACGAAAAACAGATTATAAACAGTTTATTAACAGATGACAGAGGTCAAGGACCCGTGATTAAAAAAAAAAAAAAAACAGCGACAATTTTTCTGTTGATACTGTTCTGCGTGCAACTCTGGATGTTGTTCTGGGACTGTTAAATGCTGATTAAAACTCCTGTTAGGCTATGATTGAACCTTGGTTTGTTGAATCACCATAACGCTAGTTATCTTGAACCTGTTCGCTGAGTCTATACTGAGCTCGCTGAGTCTGTCTGTCAACCTGTCAGAATCCCGCTTGAGTCAGTGGAGAATTGTCCAAGTCTGGTCTCCAATTGCCTGAGCTTGGACTAGACACCGGTTAACTGCCGATCAGATTATGGATCTCCAAATGCTAGTTTTTCTTAAGCTCAAAAGGTAGAGAAAACTGCAGATCTTAGTGTGAATAGTCATACCTGAGCCCTGACTGATATCTTGACAGAGAATCTGGAATATTTCAATCAATTGGATTTTGAATTATTGCCTGACATCTGATTGACGTTTAAACAAAAACCTCGACTCTTGAATGCTTGAGTGTCTAACCGAAACTGTGCTCGGATACTAATTGAACATTTAGTTGGATGGCTGGTTCTCAGAGTTACCACGTGCCCTAGCCTCGCCAGAACATCCTCGACTGTATGTGACACTGTACTGTTTGTAAACTTTTCCTCTTTTTACCTTTACCGTTGGTGGCTAATAACCTCTCGAGCCTGGTCCACCGTTTTTACTGATGAGAAGGTGTTGTGCAATCGCCCATCCGACCCGTAAAAGTACACAATATATGCCGCAGACTTCTGATCTTTCACTATTTCGAGCACCCTCCTTCTCATCAGTCCCAAGATGTACGGGATTCTCTCAACTGCTTTCTCCTCCCAGTCACCCCTCTTGTCCAAGTGGAGGGCGTAGGTCATTCTCACATTATCTCCTTCCCCCATGATCACCTCTTCATACCTGTTTTGTCGTTAAACTCTTAGCTTGATCGAGTGATGCAGGGGAAATCTTGGTTCCACCTACTCTGTTACCCTCAGGGGTATGATTGGGATTCCTTTATACTGCGATTTCTTATCACAGGGTCAACATTGAGACAAAGTCCTTACTCCAAGATGACTGTTGACTGTCTTAAGTCTTGCTGACAGATCCGTTTGCTGCTCGTATCTCAATGACATGCTTTATGGCCGATTTGTGACATGTCTCTTACGAGGTCTGTTCTTCCTAATTTGTTCTTGCCTGAGGTCTGTACGTTTCACTTGAGGTCAGTAACTGAAATCCCTTTTTCTGATCACATGGAACAGCCCCCCTTACTTAGTCAGTAGGACCTACAGAAGAGAGAGTATTGTACAGACCCCCATCTCATCCATAGGTATAAAAAGGTGCTCTCAACAAGGTGTAAGTTACTCTTAGTATGCTCTCTCCCCCTCCTCTTTACAAATCTTTGCCGCTCAGACTCGATACTCAGAATCGTTTTTCATTCCGCAGGGTTTACTGGAGTGGATATGCCGACAAACCCGTTTACAATGAGCTTGTACAGTTACATCCTAAAGATCGTTTTGTCCAGAGGGTTACACGATCCTGCTAATTCAATCCGTCTTGCACCCAGACGTCTGTTAAAACGACGGGTTTGTACAGTCTCAAGCCTCCCCCCCCCGTTGAACAGAGTACCGTGCACGGTTGCCACAATTCATGCTCATCTAGTGCCTGAATAAAATACTAGATACGGTCCCCACTCGGTTAGCAACTATGCAACCTTGGCATCAAGTACAACTCACTCCGAACTGAATGTCCCTGACAACGATCCGATTATTGCATCGACTGAATAGCTCCGACTCCATAACTCAAAACCCAAGCTACCTGGCGGTCTCAGTCTGGACCTCCTAGCGCTACAAGTGAACCCTAGTGACTGGTCCCCTGGGCATGTATTGTAAATCAGACGAGGTAGATATGCATAAAAGGAACATTTTGGCTCACCGTTTCTGGGCAACTCGCTCTGAAGAGGGCAAGGCTTACTGGCTCTACTTTTGTGGTAATCCCCTGACCTGTCTCTTATACACATCTAGATGTGTATAAGAGACAGACCTAGCGCTACAAGTGAACCCTAGTGACTGGTCCCCTGGGCATGTATTGTAAATCAGACGAGGCGGATATGCATAAAAGAAACATTTTGGCTCACCGTTTCTGGGCAACTCGCTCTGAAGAGGCCAAGGCTTACTGGCTCTACTTTTGTGGTAATCCCCTCCTCCCTTAGTTAGTTGCAACAGACTAAGGCGATAGGATAAAAATTAGTCAATCACCATCAAGTAAAAACTTGGCGAGGATATAAGAGATCTTTCTCGCGCTGACTTTCCTTTTTCCATTTATTCAAAGAAGGTAAAACCGTGAAAAACATAACATGAAATTCACTCCCGCATTTCCGTTGGCAATATAAGCCCATCCAGCGAGCTCAGAAATAAGCCTGTACTATTCGATCAAATGCCTGCCTACAGTCATCAAGCCAGCAAATACATTCAATCGGGCATTCGTCTACATACACACACAAGCATTTGCAGGCTTATACAGTCACACACTCGACTTATCTCAGGACACAAACGAATTCGTACCACTGTTGGCAACCATTCAATCAGGTGAGCACATGCAAGCCTACGCCCTACACTCCCACACACTCATGTAGTCACACGATGCAGTCACACGGTGCAGTCACACAATGCAGTCACACGGTGTAGTCACACGATGCAGTCACACGGTGCAGTCACGAAGTGCAGTCTCACGGTCCAGTCACGCAGTGTAATCGCACAGTGTACCCACACAGTGCAGTCGCACAGTGCACTTACACATTGCAGCCGCACGATGCAGTCTCACACTGTTTGGTCACACAGTGTAATCACGTGGCACAATCAACACCATGCAATCTCACACGGACGAAAAGGGAAAATAAGGGCCTGAGTCCCAAATGTATTTGTAATCTCCGTCTGTGCGGGGCTTAAGCACGCGAATACAAAGGCTGCATGTCTCTTTGACCTTACCAAGTGATCAAATAAACCATTCAATGCGGGGAAATACATCCAATGGACAAGTGCCAACACCAAGATCATCTTACCGCTTCAACCTTGCTAATTCTCTTAATCTAGTAGTCTATACGTTGGATTCTCTTCGCGGCCAGCACGTTTCAAATCGTTATTATGAGTCTGGGGC